GGGGGGGAGACGTCGGACAGTGTAACATATGACAAAATAATAATTTATGAATTATGAAGGGTTCGTGGGGGGGCGGGAGGAGGAAAACAAGCAGCTGATATTAAGGGCTAAAGTAGAAGGCAAATGTTTTGAGAATGATGATGGCAACAAATGTAAATATGTGCTTGACACAATGGATGTATGTATGGATTGTGGTAACAATTGTACGAGCCCCCAATAAAATAATTTTTAGAAAATAAATAAATTTTTTAGAGTCCACCCTTGTATATGTAACTAGATGAATGTTAGTATTATATATCCATCTGAAGAAAAATGAAACTGACTCATGTCAAACCATATACAAAAAAATAAACTCAAGCTGGGTCAAAAATCTAAATATAAAACCTAGAATTATAGTTTTTGTGGGGTTTTGGGAGGTTGGGATTAATTAAGATAATTAGTGAAAAAATAGGGACCCTGATCTACAACATTGGTACAGTATCAAACAGAATGGAAAACACACAAATTATAGAAGATAAAATAGAGGACTAGGACCTTCAGTTATTTTTACTAGAGATTTTAACAGATTCCACACATCAAAAGCTATCTGATGTTTGGCTCTTCCAGTTTTCATGTGTATATTGAATGATGAGATAAAAGAATCTCCACAATGTTGGCCATTACAATGAGAAGACAACTCTTATGTGTTGATTCTGTTGTAAAGTGTAATTTAAGTTGATCAATATGTGAAAAGATTCTCAGCACCATCTACTGTATCACTTTGATTTCCAAAACACAATTGGATTTCTAATCTCATTCTCTAATGAGTTCCAAATTTCTAACTAGGGCAAAATGTGTGATTTTTTTTTTTTTTTGTAGTGTGCTTAATTCAAAAAGTGTCACTCTTTGGTAAATATGTGTCACTTAGACCAGGCATTTTTATTTACTTAGTGTTAACTGAGTTATGAGAGAATGAATTGATAAGCATTTACACAAAGATGAATCAGCATGTCTTAGAGAGCTAAAGAAGCACAAGGTACATTTCTAATGACCTGCAGAGTTCCTGAAAGACTGGTGTGATTGGTAGGAGTGAAGGGATGGTGTTGGCCATACTCTAGTTGCTGTCTGCTGCCTCAATGTCTAGTCTTTCACAGACGCCCATTGCTATGATCCAATAACATTTTCAAAAGAGCCCTTCCAGGACTTCCGAAGTAACACAGTGTATATGCAGCACGAAGTGCTTAGAGCTGAAGGAGCTCCATGGATACACACACACACACACACTCAATTGGGGGGAACACTCAGAGGCAGCTGTTGCCTTCAAGAGTGAATTTAATAAGTGAAGAGTGGTCCCAGGAAACTTCCTGTGGGATTAATAAGGAGAGCTAAGGAAGTGCATACAGTACTGCATGCCTAACACCTCACCCTTGCCCTCCCTCGTGGCCCACTTTCAATTTCTTCTGAATTTTTAATGCCCTCACTTTCTCTTACAATAAACTTTTTCTCTGTTTCACATGATCATCATTGCTGGGTCCTTTGGTGGTGGTGGTGGTTTCTTTTATATATTTCTCTATATAGGAAAAGGATGGGTGGATTTATGAAGACAGTAACTGGGTTAAAAATTTCCTGGCAACTCAGAAGGGGAGGGTGAGGGAAATGGAGAGGCAATAGCAGTGGGTACAAGAAAGAAGAACAGGTTCCAAAGTTGATTGTACAGCCCTTTTTAATATAATTGAACTGTTGGATTGTATGTTAATTATAGCTCCAAAACTTTTTTTAATAAATAATTTTATTGGGGGTCTTACAGCTCTTATAATAATCCACACATCAATTATTTCCAGCACATTTGTATATATGTTGCCATCATCATTGTCAAAACATTTTCTTTCTACTCGAGCCCTTGGCATGGGCTCATCTTTTTTCCCCTCCATCCCTTCCTTGTGAACTCTTGAAAAATTATAAATTATTATTTTTTTCATATCTTGCACTGTCCATTGTCTCCCTTCACCCACATTTCTATTTTTTGTCCCCCTGGGGTGGGGTGGGGGTTGTTTATACGTCGATCATTGCAATCTGTTCCCGCTTTCTCCCCCCATCTTCCCCCTACCCTCATGGTATGGCTCCTCCCATTACTGTTCCTGAGGGTGTTATCTGTCCTAGATTCTATGTGTTGAGAACTCTTATCTGTACCTGTGTACACACTCCAGTCTAGCCAAATTTGTAAGGTAGAACTGGGGTTATGATAGTGGGGGGTGGGGAGGAAGCATTCAAGAACTAGAGGAATGTTATGTGTTTCTTCGGTGCTATACTGCACCCTGACTGGCGCATCCTTTCTTGTGACCCTTCTGTGAGGGGATGTCCAGTTGTCTACAGATGGGCTTTGGGTCTAACTAATTTTTTAAATGTATTCTGTAATGTGAGAATCACTCACAGTGGATACAACTCAGAGCAAAAGAGCTGGTTATAGAAGGTAGAGCAAAAAGGATTTTTCATTTTTTTTCTTAAGAATATGCCCTTTGTCTGATGCACAAGACTCATTTAGTTGCTTCTAACAATACCAATCTCAAAAAATCAACGTGCATCTTCTAACCATCCAGAAAGTTCAGTACAGAAGCGTAAGGAAGGCTGTAGCCAAATTTAGCTGAACAGAGTTAACTGCTTCAGTCTGCTGTCTCTTAGAGCTCCTGGGCTCCCCATGGGCCATGTACTACTGATGAGGTCACCTGGCAATTCCCCTGGTCTGACAAGCACTCATAGAAGTGCTGTAGACCGGCATCAGAGGTGCCCATGGCTCACTGCCATGAAATTAGCTAATTATCATTTCTTTTTGCCCAGGGAAAAGAAACAATAACCGCTCACTCATCTGTGTGATATTTAAACAGTGCACAGCCCTGGAATGATTGTCTTAATAACCTAGGATACAATATTGAAATACAACCTATTTTAGTGTAGGGCATCCTTAGTAAGAACAGAGAAGGGAGCGGAGAAGAAGGAAGAGAGAGGACTAGCTTACATAGGTGCTGATTAATTTCAAAATAAAACAAAAATAGTTATTTATTCCAAACATCGAAGTTAGTGGTATGTTCTAGAAATTTCCTCCCAGTCCATGTAACTTGGGAGGTTCCCTGATGAGCAACATTAAAACTCCGGATTGTTGATAATCTAACAAATGCATTTAGGTCAACAGCTAAAGATTGCTTGGGTCAGTAAAATCAGAAGTTCTTCATTTCCAGTCTGTGCTTGTGTTTTCTGTTTTGTTTAGAAGATATATAAACTAACCCAAAGGTGCAGCAGCAACTGAGTTTGTTTGTTTGTTTTTCAAATCTTTCAGAAGTCTTTGTATATTATACTTGTGTGGAAATATTTTCAAAATGAGTTAGGTAAAAAGAGGTAAAAGCTTTTTCAGAAACCGATTTTATTGCCTTCAAATTGCTAACCCAGAGGTTTTTTTCTGCTCACAACAAAAGCTATAAAAAGCCTTCCTAATGTGTTTTTCCATGTGATTTTGCTATATAAACATGATTGCACAATGCAAACCCAACAGCTCCCACAGCGTGTGTTGAAAAGTGCTGATGCTGTCTCCTATTGCAGCTAAATGAAATGATAAGAAACCCAGTCGAAGGCCAATTCTGGCAGGTAGATCACATCAAGCCAGTCTACCGCGGTGGAGGGCAGTGCTCCTTGGACAATCTGCAGACGCTCTGTACCATTTGCCATCGAGAGGTCAGTGACACGCAGAGGGAGCTTGGATCCCACTGGGATTCACCTTGAAAAGTATGCCCACAGCCATAGGAGAGCATGTGGATGACTGTACCTCCCTGGCCTGGCTGGATCTCAGCTGCATTCCACCCCCACCACCCCCACCACCCCCATCACCTAACACTTGAAATTCATCTTAGAAGGAAGCATAGCTTCTACTCTCCAGTGCCCTTCGGGCATTCACAATGCTTATCATGCCGTAGTTTACTTAGCCATCCTCATACTGATGACTCCCAAGTTGTTTCCATTTGTATTTGCTGTCCACGTCATGCTGCCAGGGACAGATTTGTCTACCAAACTGTTTCCGAATCCATTTTCTAAAGATAGATCCTCAGATGTGAAATCACGAAGTCAAAGTGTTTGGAGATATTTTGATACGCTAGTAATTTCTCCCCCAAAAGATTGTACCAGTTCTATACCGCCAGCTTGGTAGTGAAAGGAAGTGCCCCATGGCAGGGAGGGGCGGATGGCTAGTCTTTGTTTACTAAAGAAGCCCATGTCTCTTTAAATTGATAACCAATTTCATTTACTCTTATGAGTACTGTTCAGTTCCTTTGCCTAGGCAATGTGCATATTGTCAGTGTCCACCATTGTTAGCTTCCATCATCTCTGCTCAAGCATAATTGTATATGAGTAGGATCATGTCAGAGGGGCAGTTTTTTGCTTTCATTTTGTTGTGATCTTTTCTCTCCCTGCCTCTTTCACCTGGATCAGTTCACACACATGAACTTCTCCAAATCAATCACCACTGCAGCTGTGCTGATTCTGACTCTTAGCGACACTAGGGTTTCCGAGACTGTCAGTCTTTGCGGGAGCAGACATCCCCATCTTCCTCCCACAGATCTGCTGGTGGGTTTAAAGTTATCTGCCCTGTGTTTACTTCGGCAGCACATATCCTAAAGTTATCTGCCTGATGCTTAACTCTCTGTGCCACCAGGGTTCTTTCATGAACGTCTTCGCTATGCAAATTATTGGCTACCTTTTAAGAGAATTAAGAAAAAGCAACAGGACAAGTAGCCTGTACTTGATTTTCATGAAAACTTTTATTTGTAAGAGCGGGAGGCTCCAGCCCTGGTGCGTCTCATTGTGCCCATCTGCATTGGTTTGGATGTCGAATTTGGCATCTTTCGGGGCCCAGAAAATAGGAAGTGGGGGCCTTTATTTCTTAGTCAGCTGTCTTGAATAGAAAGTTACTTTTGGAAATAAGCAAAGTGTACTTAGGGTGTTTTTGAATAATTTTTGCACTGTGGGACATCCTGGATGCCTTAGGAATATCCACTCCAGTATTCAGCAGGTCCTCTGGGCAGTGGGACTCCCCTAAAGCTGTGTGCTCTCCAAATGTGGTTCCAGGGAGCCTAGGGCATTTCCTAGGAACTTACCTGAGCAGCTGCGGCCTCTGTCTGGTGCTTCTGGAAGCCCCCAAACCCACCCCATCCCCACCCAGTGGAAGAGCATTTAGAAAGTGAGTGTGATGATATGTAGGTTTTTCCCAGACTAACAGAACACACCGAATTTTTGAGCTGCTTTAGCCAGTGCTTCCCCCGCCTAACATATGTATGCCTATGTTTTTTAACTGCAGAGAACTGCGAGACAAGCCAAAGAAAGAAACGAGGTGAGAAAACACTCACTGGCTTCAAAGCATGGATCTGACATCACACGGTTTTTGGTAAAGCTGTGAAGTGTACGCGTATCTGAATGGATGGGCAAGAGGTTTCACCTGTGGAGGAATTTAGCACCGACTGATTTTCATCTGAGTCTATTTTACAAGAGCAAAAATTTTCAAGATAAAAATCAAAGAGCCCACTTCCCTTTTGTATTAAGCACCTTTGGTGTTAACCTAATAGCATTTGAAAGGACTTAGCAGAAACTGAGATACAATACTAAATATTCCTCCAATCTTGTTCTGTCTCAGCCATGTTGTGTCTGAATTTTCTTCTAATGTACCCTAATCACTGTATCGTGTGTGGATATTGTTTTTGAAAAGTATACTTTCAAATGCCTGAAAAATTCTGCTAGGTTAGGAATCGGTTTAGACTGTTAGAGTTATAAATAAATAGAGCATTGCATAACTCCGAAGAGGCTTCAAAAAGTTTGTGGGAAAATTCCATTATCTTTTCATTCCAGTTTTCCATAAACTTTTTGAAGCCTCCTCATATCAGGGAATGTCCAGAATCATTGTTATTCAGGAATTCTGGGTCAAACCAAACCAGCCTGCTTGGTGTGCCAACTGCTTCCAAAATGGACTTCGGATACATGTTGGGGTAGTTGCTTCTTGTGCTTTATCTTTCAGTCAGCCATCTTTATTGAACAGATGCTTTTGAAAATCAGCTAAGTGTACCTATGATGTTTTGGGATAATTTGGGGTTGTAGGTAATGAAATTATGAAAATGATTAAAATCTGAACACTAAGAGTATGTAATGCCATTTAAGTTTCATTGTATAGAGTGGTTTTTTGTTTGGGTTTTTAATGCATAAAATATAGCAAACTTTGTCTTTTGGTTATCATTTTCTGAATTTAAAGCACTGTTTTACTGTGAGTATATTTTTTGTACCTTTTCTAAATGATAATAATAAAGCATGATCAGGTGGATATACATGACAAAATACTAAAATGGGATTGCTATTTTTTTACCCTGAAAAATTCAGGAATGTTGATTTCTTTGCCATATCATTTAGAATGCTTTTCGTACCAAAACAAAGAGTGATGATGAAAGAAAGCCCGGCCGGGCATAGGGCATGACCCTGTGCTGTGTCAGAATCAGGAGCTCGAAGGGTCGGAACTGCGTGAAGACTGATCCAAGGGAGGCAACCGGTAAAGCCCAGTCCGAGTTGGGGGAACCCATGTGTCACAGAACAGAACTGCGCTGCAAAGGGCTCTCGGTGGCTGACTTCAGAGGTAGATTGCCAGGCGTTTCTTCGGAGGTGCTTCCAAGAACAAATTACCATCACAAAAGGCACCGGTGGACAATTGCTGTTTGCCTATAAACCCCAGTAGCCTGAATTTTTCCTATTCAAAGCAGTAGCTAGTATTTTCGAGGCATACTTTGGACATGTTGTCAGGAGACACTGGTCCTTGGAGGACATCACGCTCGGTAAAGTGGAGGAGCAGTGAAAAAGAGGAAAGCCTTCGATGAGATGGGTTGACACCATGGCTGCAACTGTTGAAGGTTGGGATAAAAGACCACTACAATGTCCGAATAGAATTATTGAAGTCTATTTTTAATATCGGGCTAGCCTGGGCTGCAGCGGAAACATTCAAAGGGAACCTTTCTCTGAACAGCAGCCCCCTTTTCCCTGGCCGATTTTCTTTAATATCATTCAGGGAGGGTAGAATAGAGAAAGCAGAAGAAAAGGCAAGTTAAAATACATATATTACTAGGTGGTATTGACAGAAGTTAAAAGTATATTCAGGTAAAGGTTCAGGCACCTTGGTTTATGATCCTATTCCTGGATTGCGGCTCTAGCTTGTCCTCCTAGTGGGTGAGGGAAATGGACACTGCTGTCCCAAGAGAAAGACGTACAGCGGAGGGGGTAGTTTAATCAAGGATTGCTCTGAGAGCACTTAAAAACTTGCATTCCATTCTGATGTGCAAACAGGTGACCTCAGGCCAGGCCTAGGCCGGAGGGAGGGGGGTGGGAAAATGCCTCCACAAAACGTGCTCTTGAGTCAGTTCTGTTTCTGCGCGGTGCTGTGCGCTGGTCCATTTCACAGTGGGCTCGCACACAGGAACAATGGTCAGGCTGGTGCCGGACCGGCCAGTGTCCTGCGCTGCTTGTTGTACTTGGAGTCCCTACGTGTCAGAACCGACTTGGTGGCACCTAACAACAGCAATAGCTGGTATGTTACAACATAAGGGGCCTCGTGGAAAGATGATACGATCATCAATTTATCTTCTGGAGCTGAAATTGCAGTGATAACGAATTCCCAGTGTGAGGTAAAGTTTTGGCGGTTACTTTGTAGATGTAGTTGAGCTTTTTCTGGCCATATGGTGGGGCGGACAGGTGCTGGCCAGGGAGAGGCTGGTCTAATTGTCAGTGCCTATGGGGGTTTTATCAAATCAAGATGATCTTTCTGAGGAGAGAATTCTCCATGTTAGAAGTGGTAGCTTTTGATGAAATCCTCCAATCCCTCATTTATGCTGGGTTTCAAGATCCTGCCCAATCTCAAAGGAACCAGCATTGGCCACCCAGGGAGGTCACTGCTTATCCCCATCTTCTGGGCCGTTCCTCAGAGCTGTGCACCCAGGTGAGAGGGCGGGGCACTTTGAAATTAGGTTATGGGTTCTGGCAGTAGAAAATCGTGTGGAAGGCATAGATGCTGTGGAAAACAAGAGCGGGAAATGAAGATGAACAAAGAAGGGACCTTGGTTTGAAGAAGCCTCCAAAGCTACAGGAGGTTTAGCAAAGGCTGTGGTTGCTGGGGACAAGGATGCCTGTTCCGAGCCCACGCTAAGCCCACCTGTGCACATCAGAAGCACTGTGACCCTAGTGAGGCTGAGGGGAGCAAAAACTCATTTTTGCTGTAAATGGCTTCAATTTAATGGTTGAGACTCACTCACAATTTGCTTTACCTAAGGCCAGCTGACCAGTTACATATAACTGCTTCCTGTTAACACCCAGGCTAATGTTTGACCTCGCAGCTGGACACTATAGCCTGGCATACACACTAGCTGTTGGCATCCCTTAATATTTGCCATCACCGGGTGCCAGAGGTCTCTGGACAGTCTGCTGGCTGATGTTGCTTCAGTAGCCCCAAAACCTGAAGGGGGTTTTGGTTGGGGTTTTTAAAGAAATCTGTTCTAGATATTAATCACAGCTTAATACATATTTCTTAAGGAGATTTTACTTTGGCAAATGAATGCCTCTCTTTATTTTCTTATCCATGGATCAGAAAAAAAGATTTTCTGCCCATGCATCTTACTACTAAATGAAATCTCTTCTTCAAGATCTTGAGTGAAACATTTAAAATGTAGTTTCCTTAGAAATAGCAATCTAAAGCACTTTAAGTTACATTCTTGAGGTCTTCAGAATAAAATGGACAATTTGTATTTACTTACAGGAGCTGGAATCATGGACATTAAACATCAAGAATGGGTTGTAGAAATAATATCTCATTTTCTGTTACATGTTATTAACCTGCCTCTCATTCTACCTTTTATTCTTTGAACTGGAAAATTTGTGAGCTTTTAGTCACTGCGCAACTCTTGTTTAAATAGCCATCCACCAAAAGAATGTCTTGCCACCTCGTTCTATTCATATACACTTCCAACAACTGTCATCATTCCTGAAGTGTGTTCAGTATTCCAGCATCCTGCCTCCTCAACTAGAATGCTCTGCCCCAACAGAACGCCCCCGGGCTCTCTCAAACCACTGAGTCACTTTATCTATCTGCCCTGTTTCCCCGAAAATAAGACAGTGTCTTATATTAATTTTTGCTCCCAAAGATGGGCTAGGTCTTTTTTTCAGGGGATGTCTTATTTTTCCATGAAGAAGAATATGGTACACATTTATTGTTATTGTTTTATTAAAAGACACCTCGCACTTACTGTCTGCTCCGGCTGCACAGTGGCACCAGTCGCTACAGTCCAGAGTTACGGTAGCTTTTGGGGGTCTTATTTTGGGAGAGGCCTTATTTTCAGGGGGTGCCTTTTATTTCAGCGAGAGGCAAAACTAAGTAGGTCTTATTTTCGGGGGATGTGTTAGTTTCGGGAAAACGGTAAGTAACAGATACCAACTTTTTTCTGGAGACTGATATATGAAACACCTTAAAAAGATTGCTAAGGTGTGAGTCCAAGGAGAATGCGCCTCACAGGATTTTCTGAAAGAGATCAACTGGTCTTTTCCCCCCAAGGTACCTTTGGTTGGATTCCAACCTCCAACCTTTCAGGTCACCACCAGGGCATGTGAACTATATGCACACACAAGAACATCTAGTGAACTGGAATCTTGCCAAGACAGAACAGTTATACTTAATAAAAGTTTATACTCTTATTTTTATATTTTAATTTAAATTAAACAAAGGTGAAAATTGTTCCTTGGTCACAATGGCCACTGCCACAGTGCAGATCTAGAACAGAAAATTTCGGAGGTAAGGTTTGGTTTGATTTCTTTGGTTTGATCTGTTCTTTATTGAAACACTTGTATCGTCATTCCTTTTTAAGACGCTTTCTGGTACCCTCCCTTTGAAAGGCAAATTGGTAGAACTGGGAAGTAGTTCTTGAAGCAAAAGCTCTTGCAAGAAATAGCTCCAACCTTCCTAGACATTATCCTTCGAATAAGAAAGCAATCGGTCATATCTTCGAGGCATAAGGTTCCAAAGGAGTCACTTGGTACATGTCTTCTCTTCTGGAAGCAACAGCACTTTCTTGGTCAACCCAGCCAGGAGCCTGCTGCTTACCATAAGAATATCAGTGCTGGTCTTCCAGGAAGATGGCGACTGATTAACATACCAAAGGGACTCTGCAGAAATCAGCCTGTCTGACCATTGACCAGGCATGTGAATAGCCTTGCCATCGTGGATAGTGAATTGGAAGGTGGATTTTGGCAGATGCGGTTAGGTTCAAGTTTACCACCGTGTTATTTGATCTCCCTTTTGGCTCATCTGAAAGTTCAGTTGCGCTTGGACTGGGCAGCAATTGTGAGGCCCTCTGTGTGGGAGCCACTCGCGGACGCCACACAGCAAACCACCGCAAAGGTGTCCTTGTGACCAACACGTTCTTCCTCTTCACTGAGGATGTTCTCTATTTTATTTTGTTATTGTTGTTAGGTTTTGTTTGTTTGGGTTTGGGGTGTGGGGTGTGGTTTTCAGTGTATGAAATCTAGGCTGGGTGGGTGGATCTCTAGAGACAGTGACTGGATCCGTGGTTTCTGGAAGCACAGCAGGGGAGGGGGGGAGAAAAATTCAACACTGCTGGATTGCAGGAGGAGCATCATGAAGACTCCACTGCCGACCTCCAGACCACTCCCCTTAGCCTAGGGCATTTACTTCTGCCCCACACCCAGCTAGGTGAACTCTACCCTGTGCAGCTAGCCTGAGGCTGGGTAAAACCCTGCCGACCTCCAGCAGAGGATACTCTACCCAACTTCTTACCGGGGAATTCCTGCCTGTTGGCTGGGGGAGCTCCTATTTTTCCTCTGTTGTACCATGTGACCGAGGGAACTTTCTCCCACTTACCTTAGAGCCTCACAAGGTCTAAGGCAGCTTGTCCAACACTTGTCAACATTCCAAGCTGCTGCAGGAACCTTTGCCCAACCTCCACATCACCAAAGCAGGCAACCAACCAGCTTTCTGAGGCACTCCCCTGAGCTGGAAACCACAGGAGAATAAAGAGGTAGGCTAATTCCATAGTGAAATTAGCTGTAGGCAGTTCAAAGAGACATTCCTACAAGTCTACCAGAGAGCCAGTGCTCTTAGTGTCCCTAGAAAATGGCACCTGGCTCCTCTAAAACAACACAGCCCCAACTAAAAAACAGGAGAAAAGGCAATGGCAGAAGAAGTCCTG